GAAAGATGTTGTCTTGTTGTTACCTGAATTTCCAAGGCTCTGAATTTTGGAAACCTTCCCAGATGCTGCAGATGTTGATTGAACCTTGTCCTTGAAATCTTTGGTCATTTTCTAGGAGGTCCCCCTAAGGTCAGGCCAATGCAGGCCATGCTACTTGTGTGAGCTTTTTATGGGCAGCTCCTGCAGAATCCCTTCTATGTGCCAGGAAGAGGGACTAGAAGAGAGGGCCTGCCCTGAGTGAGAACAGGTGACTGTGCCGTACATAACCTGGTGGTCCTGTCTGGATCCCATCCCCGGACAGGGCTTGCAGAGTGGAGATGGGGGTTGCTGATGTGCCTCACCTATACCCATGCACCTGTGAGACCTAGAAGCTGTCCCATCTTTTCCTTCCTGGGTGGAGGTCTCAGCTGATGCGTGCGTGCGTGCGTGTGTGTGTGTGTGTGTGTGTGTGTGTATTTTTACTGTCAGAGAGCAGGGCCTGTCTCTTTTCTGCAGTTGTGTGTGACTCAGCAATCACAACAGTTCCAGAACCACAGGCACAGTGACAGTAGGCCGACTAGAGGTGGCACAAACAGTGGGCTCTTCAAGAGGATCAAAGGTGTACCTTGGGGCCAAAAGAGGGAAATCACACACCAAGACAATCAGGGAGGCCAGAGTATGCAAGAGAAGGCAAAGCATTGGCAATTCTGGGAAATCCCTGGGATCAGGGCCGTCCTGGCTTGAGGTGCGTTGGGAAGGACAGTCTTTGTCAAGGGCCTCGCAGACCGCACAGCAGCCCGGTCTTTGTGATCTCACCTCTGAACGGCTCCGGAGTAGCTCAATTTCAAATATATCCTCCAACCTGTGATCCCGCATCCCAAACTGACTCACTGTGCAGCATGTGCCACATCGTCACTCTCAGGTGCTGGGCTAGGGGCCTGGAATATTCCAGAACCAAGGTGTGGGCTCTGCTCTCAGACGGCTGAGCAGTGATGACACGGTATCGTGCAGAGCGGAGACCTGCTGTAGGCAGGGTGTTGGGTTGTGAAAATCATAACCTATTTCTCTTTCACTACAGGTATAACCATTTTATATTATTCTGATCCTGTTGCTCTTTTAGGATAGAAATAACTCCATTCACGTCCCCCAGAGCAAAGCAGACTCAGTGCTTCGAGCGTGGCAGGCAGCATGGCCCCGGCCCTGGCTGTGCGGGCGGGAGGTCTCCCACTTGCACAGGCTTCCGCTGAGACCTCCTGCCCAGCACCTTCATCGTGCCCCTCAGAGATTCATGGACGTTTCCACGATGTTTTGAGTGGACCCCTTGCTGCTCAAAGAGTTCTGTCACAAAAAAGGGACTACCTAATGGACAGTTACCTCTAATGCATTACAAAGAGCATCAGTTTTATTTTGCCCAGAGGTTTACACATAACTGGAGGGAGGGAGAAAAGGACAGAGGTGGACACAGACAGAGTTTGGACACATCATCTTACATGTCCGTTTTTGTCACAAAGAATACTTTCCTCTCAGTGGCTCAACCTATATTTGGGGCTTGTAGATTTTCATCAGCTTCCAAATGAAATCCATGAAGAAAAGCAAGTAAACATTCCTTTAAAAACCCTGCGAGATCAGAAAACACATGAAGAAGACCAGCTAGCACAGGAACTTGGAGTCAGAACACTGTCATTGTCCCTGCTGAGGCACACTGCCCCCTGGTGGCCCAGTGAGAAATGGCATGAGTGCTGCAGGGTTCAAGGATCTGTCAGCAACAAGTCTACCTCGAACTGAGACATCTCTTCAAGCTTGCTTTTATTTATTTATTAAATTTGTTGGGGTGACATTGGTTAATGAAATTATATGTTTAAGTGCACAATTCTATGATACATCTTCTGTATATTGCATTGTGTTTCCACTACTTGGTCCTGGCTGGTATGACTCAGTGGATTGAGTGCCGGCCTCCGAACTAATGGGTCGCCAGTTCGATTCCCAGTCAGGGCACATGCTTGTCTTCCTGGCCAGGTCCCCAGCAGGGGGCTCGCAAGAGGCAACCACACATTGATGTTTCTCTCCCTCTCTTCCCCTCTGTCTAAAACTAAAATCTTTTTTAAAAAAATACAAACCCACATATTTGACCCCCTGATGTATTAGACCTCCCTGTCCCTCTTCCCTCTTGTATCCACCATGAGGTCATATATGAGTTTTTGTTTGTTTGTATTTCTTGTTTGTTTGTTTGTTTTTTGCTTTCAGTTTTATACCCCACCTAGAAGGAAAATCATATGGTTCTTGACTTTTTCCTGCCTGACTTATTATGTTTAGCATGATATTCTCAAGATCCATCCGTGTTACCACAAATGGGAATATTTCATCTTTTCTAATGAGTAAAAATAATGTTTTATTGTGTATATGTACCACATCTTTATCCAATCATCAAATGAATGCTAAGGACATGTTTCCATGTCTTAGCCACCATGAATAATGCTGCAATGAACATAGGGACACATATATCTTTGTGAATAAATGTTTTCAAATTTTGAGTAGATACCCAGAAGGGAGGTTTCCAGGTCATAAGTTAATTCTATTTTTAATTTTTTGAAAAATCCATTGCATTTCTATATACTAACAATAAGATTTCCCAAAAAATTGAAAAAAGATTCATTTTGCAGTTTCAACAAAAAGAATAAAATACCTAGGAATAAACTTTAAAAAAATGTGAAAGACCTATACACTTAAAATTACAAACCATTATTAAAAGAGATTGAAAAAGACACAAAGAATTTGAAAGATATTCCATGTTCATAGACTGGAAGAAAAAACGTAGTTAAAATGGCCATGTTACCTAAGGCAATATACAAACTTAATGCAATCCTTATCAAAATCCCAATGGTACTTTTTTAAAGAAATAGAACAGAAATAAATAATCATATTTGTGGTGGAACCACAAAAGATAATGAATAGCCAAAGCAATCCTTAGAGAAAAGAACAAAGTCTGAGGTAGCATACTCCCTGACTTCAAATTATAGAACAAAGTGACAATAATCAAAGTAACATTATATTATAGAACAGCAGATACACAGACTACTGGAACAAGACAGAGAGCCCAGAAATAAACCCATGTGTATATGGACAAATAATTTTCAAAAAAAAGGAGCAATAAAAGTACAATGAAGAAAAGAAAGTCTCCTCAATAAATACTGTGGGAGAAATTGAGAAGCCACATGCAAAAGAATGAAACCAGACTACAGTTTGTCTCCTTGCACAAAAATTAATTCAAAATGGAGCAAAAGCCTACATGTAAGACGTGAAACAATAAATTACATAGAAAAAAAAGGTACTAAACCTATGAACTTTGGTCTTAGAATGAATTTTATGAATTTGACCCCAAAGGCAAGAAAGACAAATAAAAAATAAATGAATGGGACTATACCAAACTAAAAAGCTTCTGCACAGCAAAAGAAACCTCCAACAAAACAAAAAAGGAACTTTCCAAATGGGAGAAAATATTTGCAAACAGGAGCCCCAATAAGGGGTCGACATCAAAAATATATAAAGAATTTGTACAACTCAACACCAAACAAACAACAATCCAATTTGAAAATGGGTAAAGGGCCTAAAGAGACACTTTTTCCAAGAAGACACACAAATGGCCAACAGGTATTTGAAAATATGCTCAACTTCACCAGCCACTAAAAAATGCAAATCAAAACTACAGTGAGATACCATCTCACACCTGTTAGAATGGAGATCATCAACAAGAGAAGTAGCAACAAGTGTTGACGAGGTTGTGGGGAAAAAGGGAACTTCATTCACTGCTGGTGGCAGTGTAAACTGTGATAGCCACTACGAAAAACAGCATTGGGGTCCCCCCAAAAAATTCAGGTTTGCCTTTAGATCGAATTATATTCCATAGGATTCAATGTTTATGGGGTGCATTCCAGTGCAAGCCATTGTCTTGGCATTTCTCACTGTAAAAACCAGAGGCCAGCTCCCAGTATTTCAGGGTGTTCATTGGGCACCTCAGTCATGCTCAGGGAGCCATGACAGCAAAGAAAAAGAAAAAAGAAAGTGTTGGAAATAACTTGTATACTTCACCACACTGTGTGCTTGCTTTAAAAACTGTATTAGCATAGCAAGCAAAGCATATTTGTGAAATCCTCCTCATCATATCAGCAAGAAAATATTGTTTTAAATTGGAAAATTACAACTCAACATGGGTTTATAATGCCATAAAATTCATAAAGAGTTTTTTTAAAAATGAGATCATCCTATATCCAGACTCAGCTTTTCACTTTATGTAAGTCTTTATCTCATTCTTATTGGTTTCTCCAAATATGTGTTTCATTGCTGCATAGAGTTCATTCTAAAATCTTGTACATGAGTGACTGCTTCTGCGGTTCCTGCTGCCCTCTTCCTTCATCCTCCGAATCTCCTTTGTCTTTGAACGTGGACTTAGCCTGCAGTCCTCTCCAGGCAGCTTCCAAATCTAGAATTAGTCACTGGACTTCCAGAACCCTTCCCCTTGAGGTCGTCAGGCACTTCACACCGTCGTCTTCCTTCAATGTGGAGCTTCTCCACGGCCAACTGCTGCTCAGTCTAATTGCACTTTAGCTCTTGGTACAGTGCTTGGCATATGGTAAATACTCATTACTGATTTAAAAAAAAAAACAAAAAATGCTATGAATCTGAATAAGTTACTTACTCACTGTGGCAGAGAATTTTAGTTCTCCACTAAAATGATTTTTCTTTCTTGAGACCCAAGGCTGGACTGCCTGTCCCAGCCATCCTTGTGACCACATGACAATGTGGTTTGTTGCCAAAACAAGAAGAAAGAAATTCGTGTGTGCCATTGCAGATCTAGCTAATGAAATCCTCCCTCATATACTTCTCCATGGTTTCCTGACTCTGCTAATAGATGCAGAAGGCATGGGTGTCCTAAAGATGAAGGAGCCACAGGGTGAAAAAACTCTTACTTCCTGAGAGGTCACATGAAAGAGTGCCGTCTTTCCAAACTCAGCACCCACCCAGCAATGGCTCTTGCAGTCATCCACAGTGATGGGCGGGGAAATTATGGGAGTCACATGGTCATGCAGCGTAACTTGAAACGTAGAGCTGGTTCGGGTTGCTCCTCCAGCAGCCCTCAGGCGCCAAGCCTCGGCCTTGAGGATGGACACCGGCTCGTAAGTGCCAGGGCAGAAAGACAGAAGATGGCCTCCTGACAGGCGGGCAGGCAGCGCCCGCAGGGGCTGTCCATGTCCAGAGTTCTCTCCCATGACAACGGCATGATTCACCCTTTGCCTGTGCCCGTATCCTCCTGGGTTTTCTGCCCTGTACTGGAAAATCCACTGTTAAGGGAAGTGCCAGCTCTGCCTTGAATCACTGTGTGAAACTGGATGAGTCACTTTCCAGTCGTAAACCCTAAGAAGATGGAGACTGCTCTGCCTAGGGACACCAGCGTCCTTTCTCCCAGGACATGGCCAGGGTCCACTGCATGGGGAGTGGGAAGATGCAATGCAAGAATGATGGGATTTGGAACCCTCCAATGCCCCAGAGTTTTGCCTGGTGGAGATTGTGCCCAGGGCAGGCAGAAGATGAGAGGACCTGTGGTCGGAAAGCTTCAGATCTGGGTGGAAACAAACAGAATGATCCTTGTCTGCGCCTCCACTGCCACCCCCAGGATGGAGGGGATTAACGTAGAGAAATTCTGCATTTCACGGCCCTTCCCCCCGCCCCCGCAAATTTGAGGGCATGCATGGAAAAGTCAAGAGTCCCACAGGTTCAGGAATATTGCTGTCAGTTCTCTGTCCATGACCCCCTAGCCTCCCAAGGACAAGGAGTACGCTTTTTATGCTCCGGACTTTCTTGTGCTCATAAAGAGGCTTAGAGTCTTGGAAGTTGAGACTTGGGTCTATAGTAGCCAATGGCAAAGCACTGGACCACTCATCTTTGGATTTGGGTAAAAATTGTCTGGCCTAAATCTCACAACCTTTATATCACTGCTTCATTCCTGGTGAGACGGTCCCCGGAATGAACTAGACATACAAAAGCAATGCTCACAGGAGAAAACAGGGCAAGCTTCTGAAATACCTCTTACAGCCCCCTGGATTCTGCAGGTCCTGCTGCTTAGTCTCGCTGGGGCCAGGAGAACCCATGCCTGGAGATTCTCAAAGACAAGTGTGTTGGGCTTTGTAGGTTCCCTGTTCAGGGTGCAGTGCTAGGGCTGACCACCAGGGGCATCCTGAGTCCAGTGGGTTCAGCTGGAACAACAGGAGCAGGAGCGTCACAGGCTCCTGCTTCCTTTTTCTAGTTCTGGCATGATGTGCACCTCTTAACAATAACACCCTTCCCTCATACCTGAACTAGTTAGTGGTGGGATGGGTCATCTTACCTTTTGTTTCAGCCACCATGCCCTTAGCACGTGAAACTTGACTAAGGTAATGCTGCTAATAAATTGCTGAGCTGAGATTCAAATGCAGACACTGGTCTCTTTATCCAATTCTGCTCATTCAGCTAATATTTACTAGGCATGTAGTATCAGAAGGACATTGTGTGAGAAAATGAAGAAGCAAAGGAAGTAAGTCAGAATCCCTGCTTTCAAAAAAGCCACCACTGATTTTAAAGAACAGAGAAGGATCTTGACAGCAGACTCATGAGATTACAGAGTAGCATTCCACGTATGAAAGAAGAGTGGTTTTTCCACGTGGAGTTTTTTTATGGAAAAAAAAATGCCCTTTATTCATGAGAAAATCAGTAACTGAAGCTCCTAGAAATTTAGGACTATAAAATGTCCAGTTCTTTATTTCTTTCCTAATTCAAACATTTTCTTTAAGCACAGAAATGGCCACATCTCAGACGGTGTTAATGAACAGGGCCCGTGCCAGCGCAGCACCTATGCCTCCACTGCTAGCACATCCCACCGCTACCTCCCCAAGGCCCATGAGGTAGGAGGAAGAATCCTTCCTTATCTGAACCCTTGCAGTGTTAGCAAAGCTATAGACATAAAGTCCCAAAGGGGAGGCTCCTGCCTGCATCATGAATCGTGAGTGTATACACATACCCAGAAACTGGTAATTAGGTTGCACATAATTAAACAGGAGAAAGATTTTCTTTCTTTTTCTCCCATGAGTTTACTGCTGATGCATCAGGATGGGACCCTTAGAAAGACTATGCTAATGCTTAATGCTATCACATTCCCCCCTCTCAATTACATTGTTAGCGGATATAATCTTTTTATTGTAGTTGTTATTTGTCTTCTCCCATTAGGAAGCAACCACCATGAGATTAGAAACCTTATCTGTCTCATTTAGCGTGATGTATTCCATGCCTAGAACTGTGCCAGATATACAATAGACAATCGATGAATTCCATAAATATTTATAAAACATGAGTAAGTGAGTCAATGAAGGAATAAATGCTCTATTTTGGCAGAACTTTTTTTGAAGCTCAAAACTGCATCCTCTAAAAGGGAATTACCCTCTCCATTTACCACTCTAATTTCTTATTTCATTTCTGTAAAGGAATCTTCTATTTCATTTAACAAAGAGAGGACATCAAGGGATATTTTAAATGACCCTATTTTAAATGCTGATAGGTGTTTTGAATATCTATTGCTGTGCAACAAACATCTCGAGAACATAATGGCTTAACAACACCAAGTATGCATTAATTCTCCTATTTCTGCAATCTAGCTGGACAGCTCTTTTGCTCCATGTGGTGTCTACTGGAGCTGAAATGTGTAAGATAGGTTCTTCATTGACTCATGTCCAGAATGTCAGCTGTGACCACTGGAACATCTGAGAGTTGGCCATGTATGTCTCTATCTCTCTCCATATAGCCAAGCGGGGCTTCCTCACAGTGAGGTAGTGTCAGGATAGCTGAATTTCTTATGCATTTCTCTCCCAAGAGAAAGGAAGCTGAAGCTGCTAGTCCTCTTGAAGGCTTGACTGGGAATTAGCAGAGTCACATTCTCATTGGTCTAAGTGAGTCACAGGGCCAGTCCAGACTCAAGGGAGAGGAGAAATAGGCTCAGTCTTTTGGAGTGAAGAGTGGCATGTGTACACAATGAGGAAAAGCATTGGTGGTGGCTATCTTTGGAGACTATGCATCACGTAATGCGGTTCTTTCAGCATTACCTTCCTGACTGTCTTGGAACTGCTGTGACTGTGTATCAGCCTGTGCCAGGCAGGGATAATGAGCAAAGTGACATATGAGGCAGCAAAGATTGCACCCTCCTAGCTCCTAAATCAATGCTGCTGACATGTTGACATTACTTCATTGCTTTAGTGTTGCAACAGCTCCAGCCACGTCATTATTGCCAGACACCTGCCCATCTCTCCTAAATTATTACTAATTATCATTATAATGATTCTTCAACTTTATAAAATACCTGTGTCCTGCAAAATCCAGTAAGATTCATAAAGACTTTCTCATTAACCAACACAGCATCCTTTGTTGAGAGTTTGAAGGAGGTAGGTGTATTCTCATTTTAGAAATGAAAAAAGGTGAAACAAAATGAAGCTCTAGAAAGGTTAACCAAAATAAAACAGCTGGTCAGCTCAAATGAAGGGATGAGGCAATGTGTGTAATATGAATGTTTGTGGGAGGCAGAGAGGGGGAGAGAAAAAAACCTCTGGGTGGAAGGAAAGAAAAATTATCAAAACGATTTTTTTCTTTTTTTTTTTTTTTGATTCGGGATTTTCTTTTTATTGTTCAAATACATTTGTCTCTGTCTTCCCACCATCACTTTCCCCTGTCCCCCTCCCCCACCTCCTTCCCTCATCTTTCCCCACTTTGGCTTTGTTCATGAGTCCTTTATACACGTTCCTTGAATTGACCCTTCTCTTCCCTTTCCCTGCCTCTCCCTTCCCTCTTGATTGTGTTGGTTTCTTTTTTCTTTCAATGTTGTTGGTTACATTTTCCTTGCTTGTTTGTTTTATTGGTTAGGTTCCACTTATAGCTGAGATCATATGGTATTTGTCTTTCGCCCCCTGGCTTATTTCACTTAGCATAATGCTCTCCAGTTCCATCCATACTGTTATGGAGGGTAGTAGCTCTTTCTTTCTTTCTGCTGCATAGTATTCCATTGTGTAAATGTACCATAGCTTTTTGATCCACTCATCTACTGATGAGCTCTTGGGTTGCTTCCAGCACTTGGCTGTTGTAAATTGTGCTGCTATGAGCACTGGAGTGCATAGGTTCTTTTGAATTGGTGTTTTGGGATTCTTAGGGTATAATCCCAGCAGTGGAATTGCTGGGTCAAAAGGCAGTTCCATTTTTAGCTTTTGGAGGAAATTCCAAACTGTTTTCCACAATGGCTGCACCAGTCTGCATTCCCACCAACAGAGGACTAGGGTTCCCTTTTCTCCACAGCCTCGCCAGCACCTATTGTGTGTTGATCTGTTTATGATGGCCATTCTGACCGGTGTGAGGTGGTATCTCATTGTGGTTTTGATCTGCATTTCTCTGATGGCTAGTGATGCTGAGCATCCTTTCATATGTCTCTGGGCCCTCTGAATCTCTTCCTTGGAGAAATGTCTGTCCAGATCCTTTGCCCATTTTTTGATTGGATTGTTTGTCTTCTTGGAGTGGAGTTGTGTGAGTTCTTTATCTATTTTGGAGATCAAACCCCTGTCTGAGGTATCATTGGCAAATATATTTTCCCATATTATTGGTTCTCTTTTCATTTTGCTGATGTTTTCTTTAGCCGTGCAGAAGCTTCTTATTTAGATCAGGTCCCACTTGTTTATTCTTTCCTTTATGTCCCTTGCTTTAGGGGACATCGGTGAAAATATTGCTGCGCGGGGTATCTGAGAGTTTCCTGTCTATATTCTCCTCTAGGACTTTTATGGTATCGTGACTTATATTTAAGTCTTTTATCCATCTTGAGTTTATTTTTTTGTATGGTGTCAGTTGGTGATCAAATTTCAATTTTTTGTATTTTTTTCTCTTTCAACGTTATATGGCAATCACTTAAGTGTCTTAACATATTGAATATTTCCAGGAGCACTGAACTTCCGGTATAATAAAAAATTGAATTACCCCCCCCCCATATCATGGTAATGACATTTAGCTTATATCAGATTCATATTTGTTTTGATTCTTTCTAGCTATATGTCCTTGGACAAGATACTGGCCCTCATGCATTAATAAGCATGTTTCAATGGTTTGTTTTACAGATTAAATGAAAAGACACAAATCACATCATATATGATAAGTGCTTCATAATAGAAACCCAATAAATAAGATCAACAATAAGTAGTTTTAATCTTAGGAACAGTAATACGTTAATTAAAATAAGATTTTTAAAAAAGCTTTTTTCTTTATTCTATACCTAGAAATAAAAAAAAAACCAGAATTGATTATTGGATCTGTTTGTTATAAAATGCAGCTGAGTTTGTGCATTTAGACCTCCGTCTGTGTGACCTCACACTAGTCAGTTAATGTCTATGGGCATTAGAATCCTCATCCGTAATTTAACAGAGCTGAATCACATGATCTTTAAGATTTTTGTTTTTGTTTTCTTTTTGCATCTCTGACATCCGCAGTTCCACGGAAATAGCCTTTCTTTTTTTTTTTTTTTTTTTTTTTTTTTTTTAATTTATTTACTTTTTAAATACATTTGTCTCTGCCTTCCGGAAATAGCCTTTCAATTCTTTACTCAAGGTCTCGTTTGTGACCATTTTGCCCTCTAGTGGCAAGATGCAAGGGAAAAAATTCTTTTCTGAAAAGTTCCATTTCCAGTGCCCATATCGAAATGTGAAAAATGTTTTGACAAATGCTTAGACTTGCTTTGATACTGTTTTAATTATGTTTGCATAAAAATGATCAATTTGCAACAACAAACATTTATATAGTTTCTGAGGATGCGAATTCAGGGGCAGCTTAGCTTGGTGCTCCTGGCTCAGGGTCTCTCAGGAGGCTGGAACTGAGGAGTCTGCAGAGCTGCAGTCATCTGAAAGCCGGCTGGACGACGTGCTTCCAAGCTCTCTCACGAGGCTGATGGCAAGAAGCTTCAGCTCCTTCCCACGTGGACCTCTCCATCGGGTTGCTCAAGACGGGGCAGCTGGCTTCCCCCAGAGCGAGTCTGAGGTGGGTGGGGGTGAGAGAGAGAGAGGCCAAGACAGGAACTACAATATCTTTACAAACATTTCCAAAGTTATATATGATGGATGAATAAAGTAGAATTATGAAGACTCAACCTGAATATATATCAAAACAACTATTCTACAAAAAAGCAAGATGCTCAAGTACATGCAGCATATATATGTATATGTTTGTTTATATAATATATATTTATACATGTACAACTAATATAAAATACTTATGTAATTACATGCAAGCTTATTAATGTATAATGTGTAAATATGTCATGTATAAAATAGTTAAAGCCTACTTTATCTTGTTTAAAGATTGTGCATGTGTATGTAAGTGCTAGCCATACAGACAAAATGTTCATGGAAGTGATGAACACCCAGCCTGCATAGCGGTGGTCCCGGCTGGGAGAAGGAGGCATGAAGTTAGGGGGTTGTGCACAGGGGCTTTAATTGGCAACATTTTATGTCTTAAGTTTAATTATGACAACAAAAGCATTTGTTATCTTAGTCTATCTGCCTTTCTGTGTGTCTGAAAGAGTTCATTTAAAAATCAGATCATATAGTTATTTCCTCTAGAAGAGGAAATAGAGAAATGGGACTATGGAGAGAGTGGCTTCATTTTGCACAGATGTAAGATTATATTATGCACATATTTGCATAAAGCTGGGTTAAAAATGAAAAAATGTTAATATTTATTAATTTTAGATGAAGAGGTCTTGGATGATGGTTGCATAGTTTCTTGGTTTTTTTCTTCTTTATTCTTTTCAAAATTGAGATTAAAAAAATAGAGCCATTTCCTGTAAGGAAATATACTTCATGAGAGAATAATCATTATCAAAGGGAGATAC